ACGATCACCGCTGCAGACCTGCCGGTCCTGAAGCAGCTGCTGACATCAGCAGAGGTCATGGACCAGTCGCCGCAGCTGCCGCCCGCCGCAGCATACGTGCTCGCCTACGAGGCGCTGTTTGGCCAGGGGCTGCGGGAGCAGGGCCCCGCGGAGCGCGCGGTGATGCGCGCGCGGCCCGCGATGCGTGAGGAGCTGCAGCGGCTGCTGCAGGAAGCGGGGGCCAAGGTAGGGGCCCACAGATCCGATTTGTTACGGGATTCATGATTGGGCGGGCCAGGCCGCTTGCACACGCTCACTCTCACGCCCTTGCGTCTGCATGCATTTAACACACACACGCACACACGCGCGCGCACACACACAGCCACACACATCAAAGCACACATGCATTGATACCAACGCACATATACAAGCACGCAAGGTATTGTGAGTTTTGGACTTCCTGCAGCCATCAATATCGAGCCACCCGGTGTCGCCCTGGAGACACTCTGCTCTGCCCCACTACAGCCCTGGCCAAACTATATGCTTTCGGCGATACCCTGCCTCGCAGGACGTGGGCACGCTCCTGGAGCGGCAGCGCACGGCCGAGGACGGTCGGGCACGAGCGCAGCCCGGCGGTGGCGGCAGCGCGGCGCACGCGGCGACAGCCGCCCCGCACCCGCGCTGGGCGCGCATCAACACGCTCAAGCTCTCGGTGGAGGAGGCGCTGGCGCGCCTGAGGGCGGACCGCAGGACCGCTGCCGCAAAGGTCTGCAAGGGGCCACCTCTGCGAGGGCCCGTGTGCGCAGGGCAGGCACTGCGTGCTGCCACGCGACCAGCGGGCTGCGCCCGCACAACAGCTGTGCGTTCGCGCAACAGCCCCTTCGGTAGCCCAGCCTGCTCGCCTGCCGCCGAGCAATCGTCGTTGCGCACCTGTCAGGCCGCACACTCTCAAGCGCATCACTCCTCATCCTTGACTGCTTGTCAGCCGCTCCTAACCCGGTCCTCACACACCGCCACAACAACCGCAACCGCCGCCAGGTGGACGGCCTGCTGCCCGACGTCCTACGGCTGCCACCTGGCACAGACCTGCACGACCACCCGATGGTGACTAATGGTGACATAATCCTCCAGTCCAAGGCCAGCTGCATGCCCGCCCACGCGCTCGCGCCCGAGCCTGGCTGGACCGTGCTGGACGCGTGCGCCGCGCCCGGCAACAAGACGACACACGCGGCGGCGCGCGTCGGGGCGCGGGGCCGCGTGCTGGCCTTTGACAAGGACCCCAGGAGGCTGGCGCGGCTGGTGGCCAACGCGCAGCAGGCCGGGGCAGCGGGGATCATCAAAGCCGAGGTCGCCGACTTCCTCAGTCTAGACCCGCAGGAGGCGCGGTTTGCAAAGGTGCGGCATGCGGCGCAGGGCCCAGCTCGGCAGGATTCGACTGCCCGAACGGTTACGGACGTTGGACGCATGCATGAATCGATGGATGCTCACGTCAGCTCCTGCGGCCCGCGCAATCGCCAGCACCCACCAGCCGCAATCCTCGGCCTACCCAACGCCCTTGCGCTGCCGCCTGGCCTACCCGTCCCTGCGCTTTCCTGAACGCGCCGCCACCCTACCCATTAAATTCAGGTCCGAGGCATAATCCTGGACCCCTCCTGCAGCGGCTCCGGCACTGTGGTATCGCGCATGGACCACCTGCTGCCCAAGGCCCCAGCGGGGGACGAAGAGGAGGACGCGGGGGACGCGCAGCGTGTGGAGCAGCTGGCACGTTTCCAGGTGCACCCGCTCGCCGCGCCGGGCTGCGGGGGGGAGGGGGGGGGATCGGAGTCGGGCTGGCAGGTTCTCTTGACTGCCCAACGTTGGATTGCGATGTGCGTGGAGCCCGGGTCAGCCGCCAGCTCACTCCTTTTTGGTGCTGTTTGCAGCCTGCATGTGCTTGCGAGGGCATATGCGCACTTCTCCACTGACCCACTCACGCTCCCGCCCCCACGTCGCCCCACCCACCAGGAGTCTGCGCTGCGCCACGCGCTGCGCTTCCCGCGTGTCGTGCGCGTCGCCTACTCTACCTGCAGCACGCACCAGCGCGAGAACGAGGGTGTCGTGGCGGCAGTGCTGCCGGACGCCCTCGCCGCGGGCTTCGACCTGGCCGAGCCGTTTCCTGGGGGCCGGTGGCCGCGTCGCGGCCTGCCCGGCAGCCTGCCTGGCGGTCGGGACGCACGAGTCGTGCGGACGGACCCATTTGAGGACGGGACGGATGGGTTTTTTGTGGCGGTGTTTGAACGGCAGGCGGCGGGCGCGCGCGGCAGCGGCAGCAGTGGCGGCTGCGAGGCCGAGGATGATGGGGCAGGCGGAGAGGAGCCCGAGGATGCGACGCGGCACCAGCAGCAGCGGCAGCCGCGAAAGCAGCAGCAGCCGCGAAAGCAGCAGCAACAGCAGCAGCAGCGGCAGCAGCAGCAGCAGCAGCAGCAGCAGCAGCAGCAGGAGCGGCCTGCCACAAAGCGCCCAAGGACGGCAAAACCGGGCAAAACAAGGGCGCCTGCCGAGTGATTGACTGGCCTTTGGCAAAAGTTTTGGCTGTGTGTGACTGTCCCTGCTCGCGCCACGCTGAGAATGCGTGTGCGGGCGGTCACCTTACACACAGCATTTCTGTCTCCTTGCTCAAATCTTGCGCGGGTTTTGTCGCATTATGCTGGTGCCTGGTCCCCCGTACTACGGGGACCCAGGAACCAGTGGGGGTGCGCGTGCATGGTGTGCAGAGCTGTTGCCTGCCTCCTGTGTAGCAACCACCCGCCGGCGCACCTCACACAATGTCAACCCGCTGCTGCTGTTTAGCAACCGCTATCACCAGTCAGTCAACAGACCCGGTCCTGGGACTTCCAGCTCTATTGGACAACACCACACCTAGGAAGGACAAGGGGTTCAAACGACCTGCTTCGCTGGGCATTGGAACAAACAATCACAAGCAATACATACATATACTGCGCTCATCGGAGCTGCAAACAACAATGTGGGGAGCGCAGCCTGTGCAAGTATCCTCGGGTACAGTATGTTCATTAAGGTGACGGCAAGCACTCGACCCATTGATGGCCACGGTGAGGGGAGGTGACTTGACACAGTCCGGCTGATGTGTGCGCTGCGTCAAACGGACAGCTCGCCTTGGACCAGGCCGTTGAGGCTTTGATGAACGTAATATTTTCCAGTATAGCGTTTGATCCCCAAGCTGCAAGCAACGATCATCGTATCGACCTTGCCCACACAGCAAACTCGCCGGCGGATGCGGTATTCTGGACTTCGGCCCAACGCTCAGCTCCCCAATATTGCATATTGAAAGGCTATTTTCAATAATCTTTGATTGAAACAGTGTCGCTGGTACATCGCGTGTGCTTGATTGAGGCCTGCGGATCCATCAAACGCTGCCAAAAGGACGCAATGAGGCACATAACGACGTTCCTGTGGTTGCTAGGAGTTCTTGTTGCGTCAAAAGCAAACGCAGGTGCGCGGCAGAGCCCTATGGCATGCTTCACCTGTTGCTCATCTTTTGGCAAGCGCAGCGAGAGAGCAAGGCAGAGGCCTCGTGAGGCTGGCGAGATGCCTGCCTGGGCGTAGTATGATACCACACCAAAACATTGCATGCATACTCAGGTCTTCTACCTGCGTCAGCCGCGTTGAGCGGCACCAGCACCGCCGAGGTCCTGCAGCGGCTCTTCCCTGGCATGGTCAAGGCCGCCCCGCCCAAGCAGGCAGCCATGGCCGTGCAGCCAACAGTTGCAAGCAAGCATGATGCAGCCGTGGTCCACGCCGCCTCCGCCAAGGGCGCTAAGCAGGCCCCTGCGAAGGCCGCCAAGCCCTCCAAAAAGCTGGTCGTTGCCCCAGTCCTCTCGTCCGCCGCTGGGGCCGTCGCGCTGATGCCCGGCCTCAAGACTGTCTCAAAGCCGTCCGCGGAAGACCAAATGGCTCAGCTGATGGGCATGCTGCAGACGCCCGAGGAGGTGGTCAAGAACAGCGAGCTCGTGACCGTCCCGAACGACCTCCAGGCCAGGCTTGCGCGCCTGGCCTCCGCCGCAATGAACGGCACCAAGATCGTGCTGCCTGCCGACGTGCAGTCGGAGCTGATGCAGGTGCTCAAGGTGGCGGGGAGCCACGGGAGGGACATACTCGTGCCGGCAGGGTCGACGGGGTTGGTGTTTTCGCCGGAGATCCAGGCGCTGATTGAGACCGGCGGGTGATGCATAGCAGTGGCGCGCGCTGAGCCGGCGGTGCTTGGTGGCAAAGCATTGTTTGTGCAGCCGCGCGGCGCCGGTAGGGCAGCCAATTAGTCCAGCAACGTAGTTTCAGGGCAGCAACAGGTCGTTGCATTCGAAGGTTGGCGTATGAGATTGGCTGTGGTGCATTCTTTTCGGTGAACACGCAGTGAACCCTCTGTCTTGCGCATGTTCATCCTGAATGCAGCTCTGTACATGAGGCAGTACTCTTGCAGTCATTCCTGTAACGCTATCCCATTGCTAGGATTTGGAACCAACACCTGCGTGCTGGGCAGGTGGGGGAAGTTATTATCATCCCTGAGACTGCGCGGCTGCTGCATGCTGTGTACCCAACCCTTGCCTCGCTCTTGATCAACACAAGCACAAACGCTTGCACACACACGCATTGTATTGCTGCGGGTTTGAGACAGCTGTGCGTCTAGTCTCACAAGCTGGTCGTTAGTCACCTTTGTCCTGTTGGGCCACCGTTGCCCCAAGGCCCGTCGCGCGGCACAGTCCACACCCAGCGGCGTCCCAACTCCCAAGCAGTGCCCATGGCTGCGTGCCTGCCAGCATGCCTTCTGCGTAATGATTCTATGGCATTTTGATCGTGCTGACACTCGCACTTTCATGTACACGGGCCTGCACGAAGCTGGAGCGGCTGGGGCACTTGGTGAGTTCGACGGTATGCGCGACAGGAGCGATCCATCAGAGCTGAAACCACCTTGAGAGATTGTCATATAGCCATAAAGTGAGCATCATACTTTGTTCACGGCTCGAAACGCCCAGAAACATAGCCTGCTCACAGGAGGCCCCTGAATCACCATCCACAGTGTCGCAACGCCGGTTGTGAACATGAAAAGAGCAACTATTGATACTTTACTAGCGGTTGTTGCGGTCACAATGGTTCTCCAAGGCGAGTGCTGCGCAGCAATCGGTGGAGTGTTGCTGTTCGCGCAGCATCGCCAACTCACCCGAGCGCGCCCCCATAGCAAGTATTTGCACTTATTATGCGCTATTTATCATACCAGTTTATTACGACAGTGTGTTAGTGCATCCAAATGCAGCCTGGGGTAACCGGACGCGCGCCCACCTCGTCATTTGGGCCCTCGCAGGGGCCCTGGCATATGAAGGAGGGCGAAAATTACTTTCTTCAAACCCAGGAGAGCGGCTGGTGAACGCCCAGATGAATCTGGAGAAGAAGATTTTCGGCGCCTTCACCACCCAGGTGGAAATCTGCAGTGCCAGCCGTGCTGCTGCTGAGCTGGATGTGGATGGTTGCTGTCCTTGAAGCATCTTGAAATGATATTTGTTATGACAGCAGCGAGCGGCCGCAGCCTTTTCTGGCTGTTGTGCATGCTGCGGCCGGCGATTTTGCCCTGCCATGTGCACCAACCATGCCCCCCTCGCCGACTCAATGACGTGCCCCAGACAACTGCCCGCCGGGAGGCGTTTGCGACAGTGAACAAGACCCTGAGCCAGGCCGCCAAGTTGCATCAGCACCTGGATGCAAAGGTTGACGCAGCCGCCGACAAGGCCGCACAGCTCGCAGCCAAGGCAGCAGTCAGCAAGTCAATCCCCGCGCTGCGCAAGGCGGCGTTGGCCCAGGTGGATGTCGAGAGGGTGATCAGGCATGTGAACAGCGAGACCACACAGATATCCAAGAAGGTTGAGGATAACATCAAGGTGTGCAGTTTGACTGGGCTGCTAGGGCGGCTTTGGGCTCAAAGAAGCGCGGATGGCTGCTATTGTGTGGGATGTTGCGTCCCTGCTTTGAAATCCCGAGCTCAAGAGCCTGGATGGCTCCAGACGCGAGCGAAGTGGGATGGACAGCAAATTTAATCCTCATCCAGCTGGCTCTACAAGGCTTGGCAGGCGTTGTGGTGCCAGCTGGGCTGCTCTGCCAGCCAGCAGCCTGACCCCGACCCCTGCTCGGTGCACAAGCCGCCACCCGACCACACCCCACTCACGACCCCGCCCCCACCTCCGCCTGCCAGGCCGCCGACACCGCAAAGGCAAAGGCGCTCGACGAGGCCGCCAGCAAGGTCGCCAAGGCCCAGGACCGCCTGTCCGGCGCCCGCGCCGACTTTGACAAGTGGCTCGCCAAGAAGGCCTACAGGCGGGAGGCCGGCGCCGCGCCCTCCCCTCTCAACGGCGCCCCCGCCAGCCCCACCTCTGGCTCCCAGGGCGCCGCCCCCGCGACGCCGCCGGCGGCCGTCTCGCGCGCCGGCGCGGGGCGTGGGCTGCTCGCGGCAGACGGCGGGATCGGCGACGAGATTCTGGGGGCTCGTGCGTTCTTCCTCAGCAAGGCCAGCGCGATCGCGCGCAAGGTGGCAGAGTCTGCGGACGCCGTCAAGTGGGTTCCGGCCAAGGTGGTCGACGCGGTGTCGCAGGTGCCGCGCGCCGAGGCCGAGGCAATCCGCAAGATCGGCGACGCGGCGGCCGGCGCGATCGCGACGATGCCGCGTGTCGAGGCGGAGGCCATCTCGCGCGTGTCGCACGCGGCTGCCAACGCGCTGGCGGGGGGCGGCGGCCACTACTTCCAGGGCGCGGGCCGCGGGCTGCTCGTGGCCGCGGCGGCGGGCGGCGCGGCCAATGCGAACGCCAATCTTGCGGGGCCGCCCGCGTACCTCATCAGCAAGGCACACGAGTTTGCCCGCAAGGTGGCAGAGTCAGCGACGGCCGCCAAGACGGCGCCGCTGAAGGTGGTCGACGCGGTGTCGCAGGTGCCACGTGCGGAGGCCGAGGCAATACGCAAGATCGGTGATGCGGCAGCCGGCGCGGCGGCCGTAGGCGGCAGGATCGTGCCGCACGCGATTGCGGACGCGGTCACGGCGATCCCGCGCGCCGAGGCGGACGCCGTGACGCGGGTTTCGGACGCGGCGGCAAACGCGCTGGCGCAGGGCAGCAGGTACTTCCCCGCCGCGCTCGCCGACGCGGTGAACCACGTCCCGCGCGCCGAGGCCGACGCGGTCCGCATGATCTCGGACGCCGCCTCGATCGCGATCGTCCGAGGCAGCGACGCGATGTCCGGCGCCGCGGCCGATGCGATCAGGCAGGTGCCGCACGCCGTCGCGTCCGTGCCCGTGCACGTCGTGGGCGCCGTGGCCGGCGCGCTGTCCAGGGTCCCCGGCGACGTCGCCGGCGCGATCGCGTCCGTCCCGGGCCAGATCATCGGCCAGGCGGTCGGGGCGGCGTTCCACCAGATCCCGATCGTCGGGGAGGCCATGGGCACCATCAACAACGCGCTCGGCGTCGCGAACAACGCGCTGTTCGTCGCCAACTCGGGGCTCCGCCTGATGGACAAGGCGGGCGACGCGGCGTCGTACCTCATTGCCAGGGGCATCGAGGCCAAGAGCAAGCCGTATGTGCCCTACGTGCCCTCGTACACACCCTCGTACATACCCTCGTACAAACCTTCGTATGTGGCCTCTTACCAGCCGTCTTACCACATGTCAGGCGCCAGCGCAAAGGCGCAGGCGTTCAGCAAGGGGCGCTGATCGAGCTGGTTTGTGTGTGTAGGGAGCTTGCTTGTTTGGAAGATGCCCGCCGTCGGCGCGGCCGCAGCTGCGCCGCGCGGGCGAGCGAGGCGGTGGCGGCTGCTGAAAGTGCAGCCACCGAGGTCCACGGCGCCGAGCAGGCGCGCGGAGACCCTTTGGATGTCTCAGAATTTTCGTGATTCGTACACAATCCCCGCTCAGGGTGCGCCCTTTGGCGCTGCATTCCGCATGTCAGGACCCCAAGAAACTACTTGTGGGCGCACATGCGTGTTTCTTGTCAGGCAAGTGCGCGCTGCAAATCGTGCCCTACTAATCACTCTACCTGCCTCTGCCTTCCTGCCTACCCAGCAGCAATGTTGGTGTGAGTGCAATTGCATTAGGGCTCAAACGCCACACATACCACAATTCTCTTGAAGCAGCCTTCCATGGCATGCGAGTACTTTTTCCAGCCGCCTGCCCTTGTTTGGGATTTGCAGCATTTTGCAACCATTTACCTGCAGCTCAAGGACAGGTTTGGGCGTGGCTCTGATGAGCGCCAGTGCCCATGCTCGACACAAGCTGCAGTCTTCCGCCGCAACAGCAAACCCCGCCATAGCGAAAACCCTGCCTACAGCGAACGCCGCCGCTAACCCAATACCAGCAGCTGCCCAATTTTACTTTTTGCGATAGCAACCAAGCCGGCTATAGCGAACGTGCCGCCGACCACCGATGGGTTCACTGTAGCGGGGGAAGACAGTATCTAGCTTGGTGCCCACATCTGTCGCAAGGTGTGTTCTGGACGCAGTACAACGGTCAATGCCGGTGCAGCACCCTTATAAAAGACGCTGGAATTCGCCATTGCTTGGTTTATCATAAGGTTTGCAGGGCATCAACATATGTGTCGGGCATGCGAACCCAACCTCGGGTGTGGTAGCGCCGCCCTGACAGTGTGCCAGGGCCACCTGCTGCAATTGTGACCACGTCATACAAGAAAACTGACGGCCATGCTGTGACCAATCTCCAAATGTAATAGTTATCTGATTCGGCGTTTGCAAGGGAAGCTCAGCTCGGATCTTGTGCGCAGGATCATTCAGGAGTGCTTCCAGTACTGATGGTTAACCCAAAGGCAAGGATTTGATTGTATTTCCTCAAGCGACCAATCATGCGGCGTTTCCTGGCGCGGACAGCCAGATCGCCAGGATGGCTAGGCGTGGAGCAGATGATGCAGGGCACGGGTCCTTTTCCCAGGGGAGAAGGGCTTGCTGCTGCTGCAAATAGTGAGAGCCTTCATGGTCCCTGGCACCGTTTTACACCAGCCGCCGGCTCCGGCGCAGCGCAGCAGGTGAGGTCGCAGTTGATGCATGAGTGCTGTAATGGAATGCCTACGCATCAGGCCGTCCAGTTGCACAGGTTGTGCAAGTAGCCTTGCGGGGCGGTCCTTGTCAAGCGCTCACACCCGCGAGCAGTTGCTCAATTCATCCACTGATTGCCGATTGCAGTGGTGGCCGGCCGGCAGCAGGAGCACCGCCACAGCCGCAGACGCCGCCGATGCGGCCGATGCAGCCCCTGTCAGCAGCAGCCCCTCTTCCAACAGCCACAGTAGCAGCAGCGTTGGCGCCTCCAGTGGCGACAGGGGCCAGCGGCTGCGTTGGCAGCAGCGCGGCGGCCAGCAGGGCGGCGGCGGGGGGCAGCCTGGGTCCAGCCAGATGTCCATAAACCTGACCGCCCAGCTGGAGCGCAACATGATGGCAAAGAATTACCACAAGGTCGTCGAGCTGTTCGAGGAGTTTGTGTGGAGGGGCCACCACGCTGCCGCGGCTGCCGCGGACGCGGCCGCAAAGCAGGCGGAGGCCTGCACGCCGCAGGCGTCCGAGGCCGCCGGCGCGCAGCGTGACGGGGCCGCAGCGCCGGCGGCGGGCCGAGCGGAAGCGGGCGCCGACGGGCAGCCGCCGCCGCAGCCGCAGCAGCAGGGCTCACAGCGGCAGCGGCGGCAGCAGCAGGCGCAGCGGCAGCAGCTGCCCCGCGACTTCCGCCCGGACCGCCGCGCGTTTGGGATGTACTACAAAGCGCTGAAGCTGGCACACTTCCACTACGGCCAGTGGGAGGGCCTGAGCGAGCTCAGAGTCAAAACCACCCTTGACTTGGAGATGGACGTCCATGGCATGCACAGCACCAGCGGGCTGGAAGCGAAACTCATCGCGGCGCACCTCAACAGGCGGCCGCCGTCGGACGTCGCGCAGATCTTCGACGACGTGCGGGCGCGCGGCGGCGCGGGGGCGTTCCCCTTCTTTAACCTGGCGATCAGATCCGCGCTGCGCGGGCGGCAGCCGGAGCGGGCGGCCGGGTGGGCGGCGCTGTTGGGCAGAGGGGGGGCGGGGGCCCGTGATGGGGCGGGCGGGGTGACGGGCGCGAGGACAGGAGGTGTGGAGGAGATCGTCGCGAGACGGGGGGGATCCCTATGGCTTGCAGTCGACACAAAATCGCGGCGAAGAAATGGGACTGAGCCCTGCAGGGTTTTGACCCAGATCTGATGTCAATGCAACCAGCGTGTCACATCTGCGCCATGCCATTTTGCCTGCCCCTCCGTCCACATCCTCCCACCCCGTGAGGGGTTTTGAGGGTGTTGGAAGATAGGGCAGGCACGCAACAACCATTGCATCACACACACACGCACATGCACGCGCGTGCGTGCCCACTCATGCGTGCGTGTACATACTTTTGTGCAACAAATGCTCAACAGGCGCATGTGCGACGTGCGCACACGCGCGCGCGCACACAGACACACACACACACACATACACACACACAGACACACACACACACACACACACACACGCACACGCACACACACACGCACACACACTCACCCTCTCTCTCACGCATGCGTGCGTGCGCACACCCCCACCCGCAGCCTGTTGCGCCAGGTCTTGGACGAGGGCGTGTGCGCCACGTCTGTCTCCGACCGCGCACGCGTGCTGGAGCCCCTGTGCTCGCAAGTGGCTGCGGAGTTTGGCGCCAAAGGGGACATCAATGCCGCAGGGGAGTGGCTCAAGGTGGGCGGGACCGGCAGGCGGCGCGCTTTGGCGTGGCAATTCTGGTGGGACGCGTGCCCTGAGGAGGCGGTGGCGGCGCAGCCGGCAGCTGTCTGAATTTCCCAGGCCGATCCCTCCTGCGGCCCCATCCGGATAGCACTGCATGATAGCC